TTCACGAATTTCTTGAAATTCATCAGCTGTTTCAACCGTCTACAAATTAAAATAATAATAATAATAATAATAATCAAAATATAAAACAAAAGAAAGATCCATACTTTTTCAAGATATTTATTATGATTACCATATTTAGCAATACGAGCTAATAATTCTTCTCTTTTGTGTTTTAAATCATCAATTTCAACTTGTAATTTTTCAATATCTTTATCTTTAACTGATGCAAGTTCACGTTCATCTTGTGCTCGTTTAAGTGCTCGCATTCGTTTAGAATCAAGTTCCTAAATAAAATTGTTTTATTTATTTATTTTTCTTTTAAATAAAATAAATATACATACATTGATATATTTTTCAAAATTAGCTAAACTTTCACGTAATTCATGTTCTTTTGTATTTAATTTTTCACGACGTAATTTTAAACTTTGCATTTTTAATTTAAATTCCTATTTAATTCATATGAGAAAAAAAAATTTACAAAAATTTTATTTATTTAAATTACTTCTTTTTGAGCAGCTAATAATGCTTCGGCTTCTGTAACTTCACGTTGTTTTTCTAACAATCGTGAAGTTGATGATAAATGTTCATGATCACGTTCAGGTGGTGCTCTTAAATAAATCAAAAAATAGTTAAAAGTCATAGAATTTATTTCTTTTTTGTCTTTGCTTACATAGCTAATTCTTTACTTAAAGCTGTTCGAAAATAATCTTCCATGAATGATGTCATGATTATATCTGAAGATAGAAGAAAAAAAAACAAACTTTACTAATTCATTATATCAAGCAAATGTATAAAACGAAAAGAGAAGAAAAAAAATAACAATTGAGATTTTTAATAACCCTGTCTGATTGATAAAAAAAAAACAATGCACAAACATTTTAGTACACGAAAAATCTGTTTTTTTTATCAGTTGATATACGTTTTGTATAGTTATCTGCCATCCATGTCTGGTTGTTGTTCAATAGCACAACACAAACAATTGACGTTACTGACATCCGTCGGCGCACAAATACAATTAGCACCACAACACTAAAATAAATTAATTTTTTTTTTATTTTTAAAATTATTGACAAAAAACAAAAAGTTCTAACTTCGCCACAATATCGTTCACCACAACATGCTTCACATGTAATAATATCGGCAAATTCGAGTGACTATATATGAAAAATAAAAATCCTTCTATAAATTCTATTATAACATACTCCTCGTTTTGGACAACATGCATCAAAACATGATTCAATGGAAGTTGTTTGACAACAATCACATGTTTCAGCACATGATGCACAACATTCTTGACAACCCAAACATTGAATACCACCAGTTTCTTGCCAATTACAACAATCTTTAAGTATACCACGAGACTTTTAATAATAAATATAAAGTAAGACAATCAAATAGACAGACCAAAAAAAATTCTATTTTACCTTCAGAATTTCTCGAATAATAATTAGAACAATGAGAATGAATATCAGACAACCAAGTATAATTACGAAAATATATGGTGGAGCTAATGTGAGATTATTATTATAAAGACTACTGATACCGCCAGGCAAAAAAGTACTAGGCTATAGAAAAAATCAAAAAAAAAATTATTATTCATATATATTTTTTTCTCTCAAATTAAAATTAAATACTTGTACGGTAGAGGACATTTTAAAATAATTATTCAATCATAAAGATTATTGTTTTTTCTTTCAGCTTATGATTTGATAAATTTTTTTTAGACATGAATTCATTCATTTCATAGTTTTTCTCTATGGCACAGCCTCTATTCATACATATGTGTCGACAAAAATTTACGAATGCATTTTGATGAATGGTAAGCATGGTAACGACGTTTTGTTGTTAGGGAAATTTATTATGCTAATGGCAGATAGGAGACTTTACATATCATTGTCACCAGAAGTATATTTTATTAATTGAAATACATTCTTTTATTCATATACAATGGCTGACGACGAAGAAGAAGTGGGCGAAGAAGAAAATACAAATAATTTAGGCGTATGTCAATTGCTATTTCTATTCCTATATTAGTTACTAATTAGATATTGGTTTTTAATTTTTTGTTTTAAGTCTTATGAAGGTGATCGTAATGAAAAAAATGAACGTCATGGTTTTGGAAAAGCTACATTGCCTAATGGAGATACATACGAAGGTCAATATCAAAATGGAAAACGACATGGTACTGGAACATATCGATTTTCAAATACTGCACGTTACATAGGTAAGTATTATTTTTAACCTTAATTATATAAAATTACCTTTCATTTATGAAAAACAAAAAGGTGATTATGTGAAAAATAAACGACATGGTAAAGGTATATTTTACTATCCAGATGGCTCAAAATATGATGGCGATTGGAATGAAAATGTTCGCGAAGGTTATGGTACATATACATATCCTAATAATGATACTTATGAAGGTGAATGGAAGAATCATCAAAGACATGGCAAAGGAACATATACTTATGCAGCTACAAGTATGTACTATGTCAAATAAATTTGTTTATATTTTTGTGATTATGAAAAATTGTTTTGCAGAAGCTCAGTATATTGGTACATGGAATAATGGTAAACGACAAGGTCCTGGTGAACTACAATTTAATTATTATAGATATGTTGGCAAGTTTCGCGAGAATTATGTACGTAATTTACTAGAAATTCTAATATATAAAAAATAAACTCTGATACTAGAATAAGTAATTGACTTGCTGATAATTTTCTATAAGAGAGAATAAACATATTCATAATAATGACAACGTCATATTGAAAAAAAAACTCTAAATGATAAATAACAACTTTTATTTTATTCTTCTAGCCGAAAGGTAAAGGAAAATTTGTATTCAAAAATGGATATCAACAAAATGGAGAATATCATATCACATCAACAGTATGTCATTTTTGATGCCAAAAATATTCAATATATAAAGCTAAATAAATTATAGGCCACTGAAGATGAGTCAGAAGCACCACCCGAAGTGCAATACAAATGGATTGCACATGATGTTGTTGCAACGGAACAAGAACAACCGTACGATTTAGATGATGAACAAGCAGAAACATATAGATCACAAGGTAATTTCATTGTCTGTCTTTGTTTTTTTTTTGGCATAGATCATATATACAGAATTAATTTAAATTAAAAGAATTATATAATATAACATGTTTAATAATATGATATTACTTTCCTTGCGTACTCTCTCTGTATTTTTTAATTAAAATTAATAATTGATGATGCATTATTTATATTTGTAGAACAAGATACTCTGCAAAACACAAATGTTGTATCTGGTAAGAACGATTTTTTATTGGTATTTATAAAGTTACAACTATATATGCATATATATAGATGGTGAACATCTAGATAATGAATTAAATGCAGAGACAGGCGATGCGGCAGATGGTAATGAAGATAATGATGAAAATCCACAATTTAATGATGGTAAATTAACTAGTCTATTTTTAGGTTTTTTTTTCTGTATATTTATTATATTTATTTAGATATACCAGGCGAAGAACAATTTGATGATGAAGGATGAACTAATATTTCTTTTTTCTTGCCCGCTTTTTTATGTTTCTTTTTTTTTTTTTTTATTATCATCTAAATAAAGGAAAAACAATATGATTTTTAGAAAATTTGAAACGGCTAATTAGGAAAATTGAAAAAAAAAACAGACATGTTGTAATTGCTAAGTATGAAAAATAAAATGAATTAACAATTGAAGACAATAGTGAAAAAAAAAGTTAGAAATGTTATCACTCGTAAACAGTTATTACATGTGAACAAAACAATAGGAAAGAAAATAGGTAGATAAGGAACTAACTAAATATAGCATCAAAAAAAAAAAATGTTCACACTGAAAAAGAAATATTAAAAAAAAATTGTATTTAATTGTTCTTTTTTCTACGTTAATATGTTATGGTAGTTTAGTAATATGAAAAAAAATTTAAAAAAAAATGTATTATAACATCGAAGAGTGTCAATATGAGCGTGTAAAATTTTTCACGGGACATTATTGTTAATGAAAAAAAAAAGGTGAAGTCTTCAGAACGAAAAATCATCGTTTAATGACGTTTTGACTTGCCGCTTTTGTGGCTGTGTTTGTTTGATTTCTTGCTCTTCTTGTGTGAGCGATCGTCTTCTTCTTCATCTTCCTCTTCACCATTATCATCTTCTTCTTCTTCTTCTTCTTCATCATCGTCATCTGTATCCGTGTCGGTGTCTGTGTCTGTGTCTGTATCGGTATCCGTGTCAGTATCTGTGTCTGTTTCTTCCTCCGAATCGGTATCTGTGTCAGTATCCGTATCTGTATCAGTATCGGTATCTGTGTCAGTATCCGAATCGGTATCATCACCTTTTCGTTTAGGTCGGTTACCCTTCTTTGCATCGCCACGGTATTCTTCAAGATTTTCAAAGATTTCAGCATATTCTTCTATTTCTTCTTCGGTATTACCTTTAGTTATATGAAAAAAATGTAAAACATGTACAATAACAAATCAAAAAGAATTCTTACCGCCTGCACACTCTTCACTGCATTCTTCGCGTCTTGACGAACCACAATTCATCCTCCTCATACATTCGTTGTATGATAAAAAGATGGACGCACGATCACGAGAGATGAACACAGCTAAAATTGATAAATTGAAGAATTAGATGTATATATATATGTATATATATATATATATATATATGTATGTATATATGTTTGTATATATAAAAGACATTTTGTTCTCAGTATAGTTAGTTTAGAAAGAGAGAGATAAAGATCGTATGAAGCTAGCATTAGTGAAATAAATACACGAAAAAACCAACATAAAATATTGAAAGACACCACATGTTAAGGGGTAAACGGGTTATGATTGTTCAGCTGGCAACTCGAAATATGAAGAAGAAAAAAAAACATATTCTAGCCTAACAATACAAAAATCCGGAAATTTAGCCAAGGAATAGGAGAAAAATAAAAGGGTATCATTCTCACACAGGATGTTCTCTCGATAATTTAATTCTTATGTGTTGAACTAGTTGTTGATTGTTTTCCTGATGTTGTTGAAGATGATTGTGATTTTTTATTTTTAGCTGATGGTTTGTTATCTTCTTCTTCTTCCTCTTCACTACTTGGATCACTTTCAGCATCTGATGTTGTTGAATCTGATGATGTTGAATCTGTTGAACTTTCATCACTTTCATCATCACTATCATCTTCACTATCATCATCACTATCTGATGATGACGATGACGACGATGATGATGATGATGATGATGATGATTCTTGTTGTTTCTTATTAGTTTTTTTTGTTACTGATTTCTTTGAATCTGATCGAAATTCTTCAATATGTTCAAAAATTTCCGTATATTCTTCAATTTCTTCTTCAGTGTTGCCTGTATAAGTAAATAAATTTATTAATAATTTTTTTTTTTAATGAAATTAAAATATAATAAGATCGAATAATTCAATCAATTTATTTCTACTTACCAACAGCACATTCTTCACTGCATTCTTCCTTGCGTGATGAACCACAATTCATTCGTCGTACACATTCATTGTAGGAGAGAAAAATTGAAGCTTTCTCGCGCGATACAAACACCACTGAAATATCAGCAGGCAAAACAAAAAAAAGACGCTCTCTCAATCACATATATTCGAATAAAAATCCGAAGAAGAAGAAAACTTTGCTTTAGACGATCTTTAAATTCTCTCTTTATTTCTTTGTTTGTTTAGTTCTTTTTTAGTTTTAGTTTTAGTTTTGAAAATTAATTTGTATGTTAGTTACAATTACCCTGGGATATTTTGTTTTTTTGGTTAGTAGGGAGAGTAAAGTTAATTCAAAAGCCTTACCTTTTTTGTCATCATCATCATCATCGTCGTCCGAATCAGTATCAGTATCAGTATCAGTATCGGTTGATTGTTCTTCTTCTTCCTTTTCTTCTTTTGATTTCTTGCTAGCATCGACTGTTCTCATCGTCAAACCGATGGATAACAGAACAATCAAGCTAGTGACCAATAGCCAGTTAAGATGCATCACGATGACTGATACTTAATAAGTAATAATAGCAAGCGACGTACTAAAAAAAATATTTGTTTATATAGAAGTAAAAATAATTATATGTATGTTAATCGAAGCATATACATTTATTTAAGAAAAATGTATAGTTTTATATACACATATGTATATTTTTCATTGCGGTTAGGTATTTGCTCCTGTTTTTTTTCTCTACGACGAAGAATGTTACGGTCGACTAACCATAAGCGCATAAAAAAATGTGTGTATGCAAAGAAAAAATAAATCATAAAAATAGACAGTGAAAGTGTATTTAACAAATAGGAGAGGAGATGATTGGTAGTAAAAAAAAAGATAATCGAAAAAACATGTAAAAAACCTAACCTGAGCAGGAGGGAAAATCGGATTCGTCGCGTTTGGATTCTTCTCTCTTTTGTGCGACGATAACAACGAAAGTGACGAAATGCCGCTTAGGAGGATGATCTACAAAATAGAGCTTAGTAGAAAACAGAGATGATAAAAGAATAGAAGAAAATATCCATGTGTATATGTGGTTTATAAATGCCAATTGGATTGACAAGAACAAGAGTCTATGTATTGCAAATGTCGACATAAATTTTTTTTCCCATTAAATCGACTGACAAAAATGAACAACTAAGCTCTTAACATTATCGTTATCATCTATACTAATATTAACCACGGAAAAAGCAAGAAAAAAAAAAAGAAAAACAACAACACAACAACCTGTCCTAACAGCTTGAGTTAGGTTGTACAAGCAAGCGAAAAAAAAACAAAGAAAACGATAAACAGAGAGAAAGAGAAAAAACAAGAACTTAATAAGTAAATACTCAATAAACATATCTGAAGAGAGAATATTGACGAGGGCGAGAACGATAATAACAATAATAATAATAATGATGACGCTGTGGTTTTTCTTGGGAGATAGAGAAAAAAAAACCAAGCAAACAACTACTATACATATGTATGAGTAATACTAACACACATACCAAACCCTTCTTGGTTGATATTTTTTTGTGATAATCTATGCTCTTCTCGAATCTTATACCTCTTTTTTTTTCTTCTTGTCGTTATCGCTTACAAAGAAAAAGAAAGACTAAAAGGAAAAAAATATTTTCCTTTTTGATTTGTCTCGATTCGTTGCATCGATTTCTTTTTTTGTTAATCATCATTACCACCTGTTTCTAAAGAATATTTTGCCATGACAAGTTGAATACCGTTTTAATTTCTTATCATTACTAATGATGTATGCAGTCAAGTGTGACAACAAGTTACAAAAAATGTATATGCAAAATATATTTGCACGTAATATGCAACTATCTTTCCTATCTGAAAATACAAGCAAAAGGGCTTTTGTGATGTGTCTCTCTCTCTCTCTCTCTCTCTCTCTCCCTTAACGACAATTTCAAGGTTTCTTTGATTATTACTGTACTCTTTCTTCTTTCTCTGTTTGTCGCATCATTTCAACAACAGTAGTCGAAGCGCAGAAATATATAATTTCTCTCAAATATTTGCGGCTGTTGTTCCTCTTCTTCTTATTGTTGTTGTTGTTGTACAATTCTGGTAGACTCTGTTCGGCAGTTGCACACCAATATGCATGTCGATAAAAAAAAAAGAGAAGAAGAAGAAAGAGAAAAAACCGATGCATGTGCGAGACGACATCTTTATTCTTGTAAACATCAACATAAGAATTCTATCGCATGTATAAAGGGAAACAAAAGCTTTAGATACCAATCGGATTTTTATGCACAACAAAAATAGAATATCCATCTATAGGATATTATATTATGATTGTTTGATTGTGATGCTACTTTTACGAGATATTGATAGTCAAGGCAATTGTAAAAGATGCTAATGCCAGATAGACACAGGATACAAATCATTTTCAATCAAGAATGCATTATGATAACTTTCGTCAATTAGTTTAGTCATATCTATCTAACCTACCTTGCGGTCAAAAATTTGTTTCATGTAATTATTTATTATTATTATCATTGATCTTTTCACATATATATGTATATATATATTTATTTATTTTTAAAAAAAACCATGAATTCTTAGTTATTAACCGTGTCGTTATTTTGTGTCGCCATCTTTTTTTTTTTATTCAAGAGTTTTTCAACGTAACAAGACTATCCGACGTATACAGACACGCACACGCACACACACACACACACACATACAAGCACAAGAAAAAGAAAGAAATAAAGAATTCAGAACAGAAAAAATGATCAATAGTAGAAAAAAAAAGACAGATAGACACACGCACACCGACACATATACCATGAAGATCAATTTAGAATAAGAACAACAGAGAATGTCTCATTAAATTCATTGTTTTTATTTAGTTCTTATTACTGAGCATTAATAGTTGCTTGTTTAGCTTCATTAAATTGTTTAACAAATCTTTTTGCTGTATCACTTGCTTTAAATCGAACACATAATGTTTCATGTTTAGCTTCACCATCAGCAAAATCCATAGCTGACCAAACATATGCATTTTCTGAACCTTGATGTTGTTTTAATTCCATTTGTGATGTTATTTGATGATTGGCACATAATTTTAAAACTTGTTCACGACGCATTAATATACGACAAAGATTTGTTGTTTTATGTTGTAAAATTTTTATTTCACCAACACCACGTTCTTTCATTTGATTTGTTTCAGCATCGAAACGATAAAGTTTTGCACGTTCACAAAAGAGAATATTTTCATCTTCTTCACCTGTTTTAACTTCAACAGCTGATAATTGTACAATTGGTTTAAATGAAACATTTGGTTCATATGATTCATCTTCACCACCACCACCACCACCACCACCATCACCACCTTCATCATCTTCATTTGTATTAGCTTTTGGAGTTGGAGTTGGAGTTGTAGTTGTACCAAATATAAGTGAACCTTGACCAGCAAAAACTAATAAAATAAAGAACAAAATGAAATATTTCAAGAAAATAATATTTTATACCTCGTTGTTCAGTTCCATTACTTAGTGGTTTCTCATTTGTTGTTGTTGTTGATGATTGTTTAGCTAAGTCAGAAAAACTAAATTTTGGTGTATTACCAAAAATTGGTTTATTAGCTGATGCTGATCCAAATGAAAATGTTGATGATGTATTCGCTGTTGTTGTTGCTGTTGTTGTTGATGATGTTGCAGCTGGTGTAGAAAATTGAAAACCATTTGTTGGTGTTGTTGTATTACCAAAACCAGGAAAAGAAAATCCACTATTAGTATTATTTGATGGTTTTAATGATGCATTACTACCAAATATGGAACCACTAGGATTATTTAGTGGTGTTGAACTTCCAAAAATTGATGTATTAGATAGACCATTCAAGTTTCCAAATATTGATGGTTTATTATCATATTGCGATGTTGCATTTGCGACAGGTGATGATGATGATTCAATTGATGATTTTTCCTCTTTTGTTGTTGATGTTTGTTTTTGTAATTGCGTTTGTTGTTTTTCAGCATTTGTAAATGAAAATTTAATATTTTCACTTGAACTTAATGGTGGTTTTGATGCTGATGTTGTTGATTGTGGTTGAGGAGCTAAAAAAAGAAAAAAAAATATTTACTTATTATAATCAATTATCAATTTACTAGTTATTTTTGTATCATTTTTAATTATATCTGTTTGTTTTATTTCGGTTTTATCTAAACAAATATGAAAATGTCAATCGTTAACAAAAGAATAGATATATTCTTTTATATTATCATTAATACAATAGATAAATATTAAGAACATACTTTCATTAAGTACAATTGGTGGTGTATCTTCTTCACACCCTGGACAACCTTTGCATGGTTCTTTATTTTCATATAAATAGAATGTTGATGGTAATTGTAATTTTTTTGCTCGATCAATTTGTTCAGCTGATGGTTTAACTTCACCAATAGAAACAATATCTAAACATACAAATAAAAACTTATAAAAATAAATAAAAAGAACTAACGAAAGGATCTCCTCTTCCAATTTCAATGATTTTTTTTTGCCTATAAATATTGCAAAATATTCTAATAAAAACACCTAACAAAAAATTTGACTAAACAATTGAATTTTGATCTGAAACTTTCCGTATATATACATCAGAGCTTTAAACTGCCTGACCGGTATAGTTTTTTTTTTTTGAGTTTTTCATGTTTTCTTTCAAAACATTATTGATAGAAATGTTCTTTTTTTTTTTTTTTACATAAATCAATTCATTTTTATTGATGTTAATGACTATTTCTATAAGGGAACATATATTAGCATATTTCTATCAAATGAATATTCATCAAAATACACTTAATATATTTTTCTAAATTCACTTCAATATTAAGTTTCATCCTTGAAATAAAATAGAATAATTGTTCGTCATTGCAATGTATTATATATTTATTTTTACTTCGTATTATTTATACCATATCTTTCGAAGAGATATAAAAGATAACAAAATAAATCTATTGTGAGAAGTAGAATATTAAGCTAATGTAGAATTTGTAATGCAATGAAATTTTCTGTCCATTGATAGATATTACAAGAACGGAAAGTTATAAAAATAGATAGTAAAGAAAAAGCTTTCATCGCTTTCTGTACGGAATTAAAATAATAAATAAGATAGAGCTACTCTTTAACTATTCTTGGAAACTACAATATATGTATATATATATATATGACTAATTATGGCAAACATATCCACCTCTTTCGCACAATCTGTAAATAGGTAAAAAGAATATCGGCATGTTTGTCGTGGTTTTTGGAACAAGCTATGGAAGATGAACTCAATTTTCTCGCCATATACTTCAACACTCATCTTTCACAAAAGCACTGTAATACTCATACAAGAGTCTTATGTAATTTCTGCAGTGAATCAAAGGTAGATATGACTAACCGAAAAATTGATTTGAGTATTATAAGATAAGATAAGTGAAAAATGATTCATGTCAATCTGATCAATATCAGTAAGGAAAAACCATATTGATTGTAAATCTGGTATTTACTATTCATGGGAAAGGGTCTATATCTTAAAGAGACCTTGTTCAAAACTATTGAATTTTTTTGTTATGGAAATTAGTCTAATTCAGTTTCCTATATACGCAAAGGTTTCAGATCAAAATTCGATAGCTTAGTCAAAATCTCAATAGAAATTCGAATTTTTTTGGGATTTTATTAGAACATTGTAGTATCTATAGGAAAAAAATAAAATCATTGAAATTGAAAGAAGAAATTCGAAGAGATTCCCCTTCTAAATAATAATTAATCATACCATCATCATTTGTATTTGGTTTTGTTTCATCATTTAATGAAATTTTTCCAATAGACGGTAAATCACCGGATTTTTTCATATTCATTTCTTTTGCTTCATTAAATACTTTAAGAAATTTTTTCGCTTGTTCATCAGTTTTAAATCGAATACATAATGTTTCATGTTTAGCTTCACCATCTGCAAAATCCATAGCTGACCAAACATATGTATTTTCTGCACCTGATTTTAGTTTTAATTCCATTTGTGATGTTATCTGATGATTAGCACATATCTTAAATATTTGTTCACGACGCATTAATATACGACAAAGATTTGTTATTTTATGTTGTAAAATTTTCATTTCACCAACACCACGTTCTTTCATTTGATTTGCTGATGCATCAAAACGATAAAGTTTTGCACGTTCACAAAAGAGAACATTTTCATCTTCTTCACCTGTTTTAACTTCAACAACAGGTAATGTAACAAGTCGATTAAATGAATATTCTGGTTCATAATCTTCTTCACCATCACCTTCGCCATCATCATCAACATTTGTTTCTGGTTTTATTGTTGAAATATTCGATAAGCCAGGAGTAAAATTACTAGTACCAAATATTGATGTCATATTATTAGTACCAAATACAAATGGACCTGAAAAAGAGAAATTCAAATGTTTTGTAATATGTTTTTTCTATTGATTTTTTTGTTTTTGATTAGTTACAGCTAGTCTAATTTGCTGGTTTTTAATGATTTTCATAATCATGGAGATATATTGAGCTAACAATTTACGATGAGAACCTCGGATAATGTTGAATGAATTTATTATACTCAAGAAAAATCAGTCAGATATTAGAAGTTAATTTCATCTTAGACTAAAGATTTTTCGCCTGGATGTTTTGAGTGCAATTTTCAGTTCACAGTTTTATTACAAAATATCAGAAAAGATTCCATTCAACTGTCAAAATCTTGCCAACTACTAATGCTGATTTTAAAAAAAGGCGGATGAAAATTTTTTTAAATAACTTTTGATAGAAAACTGCTTTTTTCACTTTTAGAAAGAGATGAAGACCCATCGAATCATAAATTACAAGTTTTTTAAAGCTATGAAATGACTATGATGAATTTTCAATTATCAGATGTGCATTCAAGTCATCAATGGATAATCTCAAAAATAACTATGCATGTTTCATATTTTTAGATTTAGTTATTTAGGAGTCATAGGTATTTTAGTTAAAATTCTCGGCCGATTTTTCAAGCAGTTGCTATGAAAAATCACAATTTTTGCTTTTTTTTCTCATGTTAAAACGAACCATTTTCCGACACTTTTTTTTCTATAAATTTCATTAAAAAAAAGCTTCAGAAAACAGCTTGGAAGAACCTATAATAGATGATTTGATGTGACTTTAACTCCTCTTTTCGATGGTGAATAGTGCAGCGCTTTATATTATTTCTATCAAAATTGATTCCAAAAATTCCCACTGGCCATTTTTTTTTTGAAATGGACATTAGCATCATGTAACTGTAAAAATATTTAGATATTAAGAAACCTTTAAAATAGAATGTCTGAGAAAAAACTCTATTATCTTTCTATCGACAATAGTATCCTTTTACGAATTGAGATGCTGCATTTCAGCTGTATAAAATAATTATTTCAAATAAGAATATATCAAACTTATCAATTGTAAAGAAATCATATTATAATTGAGAAAAGTCAGTTAAACTATAGTATAAATATTAGCTACTGAGAATTAATAGATGAAATGTAACAGACTATAGATCATTTCTCAAAAAGAACCAATTAGTTAATTGGATATATCAAACGCACCAGTTAAGTCAGGAATTTCAATCAGAAAATTCGGTTCAAAAAAAAATCAGATCAATTCTAAGTATAATGTTTATAAATCAAATAACTTACTACTGTTTGTTGGCTTTTCATTTGTGATATTTGTTGAAGCTGTTGTTGTTGTCGTTGTTGTTGTTGGAAATAAACATGATGGTTTAGTTGTTGTATCAGCCATAGTCAATTTAGGTAAATTTGTAAAGACTGACTTGCTTGGAGTCGTTGTTGTTGGCAATGTATTCGTTATTGCTGGTTGTGATGATGGTATCGCTGCCGATGTAGAAAATTGAAATGATGGAACATTTGGTGATAATGATACAGTTGGATTAGCGGCAGTTGTAGGAAAAAAAGGGAGATTTGAATTTGTTGTAGTAGTTGTTGTTGTTGGTATACGCATTGAAACAGGTTGTTGTTGTTGAACAGGAAATGACATTTGAGGAGGCGGAGGATGTGAAGATGGTGGTGGATGAGAAACTGGTATTGGTTGGTGAGACATATAATTTGGATAATAAGATGTTGCATAATGACTTGGTAGAAAATGAGGTTGTTGATTTAATTGTTGTTGTTGTTGAAGAGCTAATACACGATTTGAAAGTATTTCAACAATATTCTAAATATAAAAGAAGATTGTAATAAATACACAAAAGAAAAGAAAAAAAAAGAAAAACAATTAACCTTAATTTCAAATAATTGTGATGAAATATGTTGTGAATATTGTGATAAATTTTGTATTACATTTGTTTGAACATTCAAGCAGTTAACAAGCTGCTCATTAAGACGTTCATTGAATGTTGTTGGTACTGGTTGTGACGGTTTTGAAGATGGAACAGACATCTTAAATGTAAAGAAAACTTTAAAGTAAATCAAATAACAAAGAAATGTTTCCTTCCAGAATTTATATGTTTTCATGCATCTTTCTTCTCTTGCACAATACCTTAACAAAGAATGGATGAGTCAAACAATGGATCGAAGAAAAAAAAGGCCATATTTTTTTTCTTGTGTGATATTATTTGCAGAGCCTTCTTATATGTTATTTTCAAATATTTTATTATGTAATCGATAGATGTCATCACTATGCAGATTAAAAAAAAAAAGCTGAATGACGTCATTTGAGATATTTGATAATTCAAAATAGAATTTTGATAACCTAAAAAAATATTAAAATGATATTAATAATAGATAGTCATTTGGAATAGACGGTGTATGTTCATCTTTCCGAAGAAAGGAGATCATGCAAATTTCTATCAACACGACAGCAACATATCATTATGACGGAGAAATCGAAGATTTTTGATGAAATTTATAATGATAATTTTGATAATCTTTTCTTGTTGTTTTTGAAAATTAATAATCAATTTATTTTGATGAAGAGTTCCAATTCGAACAATTATTTTATTTCAAATGATAATTACTGATTAGAAGCATGCGGAAGATCAACATTTTTATTTTGTATTGTGTCCACAAACTCAACCAAAAAATTAGGTCAAGAAATGCTCATACGAATTTTCAATTCTGATTGTTTCATTTACTCTCCGGAGTTGTGTTTTGATCAATTTAACTTATGTAATAATTCCCTCGGAAACAATATATAGATTTCAGTCTCAACACAACATCATTTTTTTTATGTATTAGATCATTAAGTCAAATAGTTGTTTATGCATTGTCCAAATACCTTTTAACAATAAGAGAGTAATATCTTGTAATTGCCTATCAATGGATGAACTTCATCAATATTATTGTTAGTAATAGTTAACTCTGAATAATAAGAAAGAAGAAATCTCTATGCAATAGTTAGGAATAGATGACCAGGTATACTACATTTTACGAAAAAAGCTACTCTTTTATCGGCTTTTGTCATGTTAGTTACACGAGGAGAAAGCGGCGAGAAAAGAACATTCACCAAAAAAAAAATAGCTGACTTTTATCTGAAATCACGGAGGTTTCGGGTTCTTTTTGTCAGAAGATTTAAAGAAAATTTCTCGAAGAATTTCAAGTTTTTTACGCTCATAGATAGAGAACCTCCAAAGGATTCTTCTTTTCATTGAAATTCGACCCAGATAGAACTATTTCAAAACAAGCAGAGTTTTCGTATGTTTTATAGTTTATCTATATCAATATCATTACGTTGTTACACTTGTTAATAGATGTTATCGGCTTTGAGATAGTAATGAGCGGAACTAATCGTTTCTGCTCTCGGTTTCCACACCGAAACTATTTTTTGTAAATATTAACTTCGTTTCATTTTTGTGTATTTTTTTTTTCTTCAATAAGTAAAATATAAGTATTATTTAAGATATGTTGATGCATCTCTCAATAATTTTCGCATAACTTTTTAAAACACATGAATCGTAACAATATGACATTTCACACAAGGTTTTCACTATCATAAGAGATATCACTCGCTATGAAAAAATGTTGATCGCAGCCCCGACGGATCTGCAACAATCATGCCCGTATATTTTCTTTGAACATTGAATCAAAGTAAATAAAAATGATATGAAAAGTTATTAAATTTTCTAAAAAATACACCAAGGAAATATATTTAGCGTATCATCCCGATAATAATCTCCTAGTCCTAATGACATAGATTCATTTCAACTTTACCTCCATCTAGTGGACAGCTGAGGGCAGAATTTTTTTTTCTGTCATTAATTGTTTATTGATCATCATTTTCATCATCATCATAAAAAGAAAAACAACATTTAATAACGAAATGAAATCTCAGAATAATAGTACAAAAACAAATCAAGCGTTTTCATCTATTTCTATAAAAAAAAAATATTGATATGTTCATTCTAATATATTTTTTTCAATTTTGTCAAATTGACTTTTTTGTTTTTGTATAGCATAATCAGTGGCAAACTTCTCATAAATTGTGTTTAGTTTTATACAAAGAAAAAAAAATCTATTCATAAGATATAATGTTTTTATTTTCAATAGATCTAAGTTTTTATTTTGTTTGTTCTTACTACTACATATAAACATATAACAGCCTGAATAATATAACAAATACACATAAAACACAATGAATACAAGAGAAACAAACAAACAATGTGTTATATATTATACGCAAATTAGAATTGTTTATCTTGACACATCAAGTGACGTATCTATCTGAACGAAAGTCACTATTATGAAACAAAATTATGACGAACACATAAGGCAAGCACCATTTTCATCTGTCATATTACATTGTTTCATTCGTCGTGCAAGATTTTGTTCTTCAGTCTTCGATGTTTCTTCTTGTGTACCAGTTCCTTTTTCAATTGCTCCATCAGTCTTTACTGTTGATATTAAACGAGTTTTATCAACAGTAAATTTAATCGGATCAGCAGCTGGACGTGTACGTAAATAATACATGCCTGTTTTGAGACCCTTAAAAACAAATCAAATTTAATCATTTTCAAAAATCTAATAAGGATAACAACAAAAAACATCATCTACAAACTTTTTTCCATGCATAAAAATGCATTGATGAAAGTTTATTCATAGTCGGTTCTGCAATATGAATATTTAATGATTGTGATTGATCAATAAAAGCACCACGATCAGCAGCCATATTAATAATAAGTTTTTGTGGAATTTCCCAAACTGTTTTATATAATGCTTTAATATGATCCGGAATAGTTTCAATATTCTTTATAAAAAAAATTAATAAATTTATAAAAAAAAGAAAAAATCAAAACATACTTGAATTGAACCGTTTTCATACATTAAACGATTTTTCATATCTGGATTCCATAAGCCTAATTCAGTTAAATCTTTTAATAAATGATCATTAACAACCTTTAATAAATAAAGAAAATAATTTTAATCACTTAGAATTTTTTCTTTTCGATAAATTCTATTTACTTGAAATTCACCAGAAAGTACACGTCGTACATATAAATTACTAGTATATGGTTCAATAGATTCATTATTACCAAGAATTTGAGCTGTTGATGCTGTTGGCATTGGTGATAATAATAAACTATTTCGAATACCATATTGTGCTATTCGATTACGAAGTTCCATCCAATTCCAACGATTCGAAGGTGTAACATCCCACATATCAAATTGAAGAATCTTGATTAAAAAAAGAAATGCTATTTATTTCTATATAAAAAAAAAAACTGTTAATCTAGTTTTGGATTTATTTCTTCACCATTGTTTTCGTTGAACAATGTCTATGATGATCTCTGTGTATTTCAAAATAAAGAAAACTATACTTACACCTTTGCTAACAGGTGAACCTTCGTATGTTTCATATGGACCATGGATTTTAGCTAATTCACAACTTGATTTTAATGCAGCATAATATATTGTTTCAAATATATCACGATTAAGTTGCTGAGCTTGTTCACTTTCAAATGGAAAACGCATTAAACAAAATGTATCGGCAAGACCTTGAACACCAATACCAATTGGGCGATGACGAAGATTTGATGTTTTAGCCTAAAAGAAATTAAATCAATAAAATAGAAAGAAAAGAAAAATAGTAAATAACATACTTCTTTTAATGGATAAAAATTTCTATCGATTATTTTATTTAAATTACGTACAATAACACTTACTACATGAACAAGTTTATCAAAATCAAATGTTCGATCTGGACGTACAAATCGATTTAATGCAATTGATGCTAAATTACATACAGCAACTTCATTTGGTGATGTATATTCAATAATTTCTGTACATAAATTTGAACAATGAATTGTACCAAGATGTTGTTGATTACTTTTTGCATTACAATGATCTTTATATAACATAAATGGTGTACCAGTTTCAATTTGTGCATTAACAATAGCAAACCATAAATCTTGAGCTTTTATTGTACGACGTCCAAGACCTTCTTGTTCATATTTTGTATATAAATCATCAAATTCTTTTCCCCAAACATTTTGTAAATTTTTACATTGATGTGGACACATTAATGTCCATTTATCATTAGCTTCAACACGACGCATAAATAAATCTGGTATCCATAATGCTGGAAATAGATCACGTGCTCGTTTTTCTTCAGCACCTGTATTTTTTCTTGCATCCAAAAATTCAAATATATCAGCATGCCATGGTTCCAAATAAAGTGCATAAGCACCTATCATAAAAATAATTTAATAAGAAAATTTAAAAGAAACTTAGAGAAAAAAAATAAATTCAATTCATACCAGGTCGTTTACCACCTAAAAAATAAAACAAGATTTTATTAAAATTCAAATCTTTCTTCTTTTTTATTATATATTTCTTTTACCTTGATTAACATATCGAGCTACATTATTAAATACACGCATCATTGGTAAAACACCATCGGAACGACCATTTGTCTATAAATTAAAATATTTTCTAAAAAAATATTCATTGTATAGTAAAGTCTTACTCCTTCAATGTATGATCCATTAGCTCGAATACAACTAACAGCAAGACCAATACCACCAGCATTTTTTGAAATAATTGCACATCGTCGTAAAGTTTCAAAAATACCTTCAATACTATCATCACACATTGTTAATAAATAACATGATGCCATTTGTGCTTTTGTTGTACCTAAACATCAATAAAATAATTCAAAGAAAAAACGAACAATAAATGGATTTACCAGCATTAAAAAGTGTTGGTGTTGCATGTGTAAACCATTTTTCTGATAATAAATTGTATGTTTCAATAGCATCATCAATATTTTCACCATGAATACCAACAGCAACACGCATAAGCATATGTTGTGGTCGTTCAACAATAACATTATTTATACGACGTAAATATGAACGTTCGAGTGTCTAAAAACAATTGAAATAATAAATATTCATTCAACTAACAAGTGAACATATTCAACAATCAGCTACCGTTGGACTTCATAT